AAATTAAATAAAATTCAATATATATATATATATATATATATATATATATATATATATATGTGTGTGTGTTTTGAAATTTGGTCTGTTGTATTTTCTTTGTGCATTATTGACAAATACAATGCTTTTTTTCTGTCGATTTTATATTCAATTTTTATTTTTCAAAATTATTTTTATGTATTTTTATTTTCACACTCAATGTGTGGAATATCTGAAGTTCACTCTGAATTTGACAGCAAATTATTGATTTACAGGCCATTTTTTTTCTGATATTGTGATGCTTTTTATATGACCCAAAGTGTGCCTGATTGCTCACTCGTGTGTGTGTGTGTGTGTGTGTGTGTGCGTGCGTGCGTGCGTGCGTGCGTGTGTGTGTTGTCTCTCCGTCAGGCGAACGGTGGCTGGCAGGACCCCACCACCCCGTCCTCCGTCACCTCCCCCACAGAAGGACCCGGAAGCGTTCACTCCGACACCTCTAACTGATCCTCACACACACGGACCGTCTCCATCACCGCCTCACACGCTCCTCTCTCCAGTGTGTACATGACTTCTGAAAACACAAGAGCGCATCATCAAACATCTTCATGCTACCTCTCAAAACATCCGTCAGCAAACACATCCAGACCAAGAGAACGGGAGCTTTAGACTAGTCACAAACATCTATACTGTATGTCAATCCTGCCTTCATCGTCACAACAAACATCATGTTATGTTTGAAACATTTTTGCAATTTTACCATAGTGCCAAAGTACTTTTATACATCCCTGTAGGAACTCATTTTACATTATAATAGACTTCTTATGCTTGAAAAAGCAGTTTGCACTGCGTCTGAGCTGAACTAGAGTTCTGCTTGTCTAATAACCTTTACTTTGAATCTCAAAACATTTGGTTGGTGTACATAAGGGAAAATCATAATTCCCTGCTTTAAGGAGAAATAAAGGCAATGCAGTTCAGATATACAGTAGATATCAAATTGTTAATTTCTAAAGGTTATTAGCACAACAGTATCATTATTTAGCATTTTAAATAAGATTCACATGCATCACACTTCAGGTTATTCATGCAATCTTGATGAATTTTTGTCTGATATTCATGTACAGACACACAAATCCCTTTATATAGCATCTTCATCATCATCATGGCTGAAGGATTTTCATCAGCGCACATGAGAATGCAATAAAAGGCAATCAGAAGTGAACAAATCCCAAATGTGAAATCACTTTCGTTCCACGTCAGCCTTCTCTACGGTGACCTTGATACCAAAAACCACAGGCGTGTCCGCTCTTACCTTCACATTGCATCGTTCATGTTGTAAATTGTGTAAAATCCGAGGCGCTGGGATGTGCTTCTCACGAATGTCCCGGCGCGTTACACCTGAAACCAAAAATCCACTGGTGTTTCTTGAGAAGATAGGAAAAGCTCACGATGGCACACAAATGCAGAAATTGTTTGGATATATTTTTGATGCCCTCCTGTTATGAATAGCCGATTCTCATTTCTGATTTCATACACGGGCGGCCATATATTTTATTTTCTCGCAAGCATAATGTGAATGCGCGCTAGCTTCTATATGTAGATGTGCACCTTTACTCATCTTTTGCTCTTTTTATAACAATCACATCCACGTCTGGAATGATCAAGTCTTTTACAGAAGCGCTGTGATGAGTGCAGGCTTTCTGCTCCTGGGGCCACAGTTACTGCAGTTGATTGAGAATGAGACATGTAGAGAGGTTTTGGAGCTCTAGATAGTGTGGGTCATAGTCTTTCTTTGGTTTGCCGTCTCAACGCCGGAGCAGATCGCACCTCAGCAGCACCGTATTCAGAAAAGTCTCATGTAATGATGCTTTTAGTTTTTGCATATACAGCAGTTTGTAAAACATCAAATGTTTACTTTGTTGCATGTCTTTTGTTCTTTAAACTCCTGCAGTGTTTTCGAATGTTTCTTCTTTTTTATATCAAGCGCAGAGACATTCTCTTGTCAAGTTTTAACTTTTAAGATCTCTGCATATGTATAAAAGGAGTAAAATGGAACAGCAAACTATTGTCTTTTTGATTCCAACTTGTTTTTGTGAAGGAAAAACTAACAAGGTGTAGGTTTCTTGGTCTCTTAATTTGTACTGGTTATGCATATTCCAAATAAATAGTTTCTTTTGTTGCAATATGATTCTCTCTGGCGTCTGGTTTCATTTGGGCATTTCTATTCAATTAGTGGAAATGAGATACTATTATAGTTTTTATTAATAGTTTTAATATTTTCTGATTTCATTTTAATTCTAGTTAAAGTTCTGGTAGTTTTGTTGTGTGTTTATGTAATTTTTATTAGTTGTTTTTGTTTATTATTTACATTTTAGTTATTTTAGTTCAACAAGTTAAACTAAATGAAGATGAAAAAAGTTGCCTTGTCAACAGCCAAAGTAAAATATTTATTAGATTTCAGAAATTTTATTTCCACTCTATAATTTTTTCATGGTTTTAGATTTAGTTAACTATAATAACCATGCTAACACAACCTGCTTTATTTTAAAATGTAGAATGTTGACCTATGAGAGTTTATGTTGTACATCACTCTTCTATTGTTTGAATTGGAAATAATATAAATAAATATTTCAGATAATAACTGATATAATACTGATCTAGTCACTGACCGATCATGTTTTATAACAAACAGTTTAATGAAAAGAAAAGAGAAATGGTTGATTTTGTGCTGATGTAGTTTTTTTTTTTTTCTCGGAGGTTGCATCATCATGCTTTCAATAGTTTTATCTTAAAATGCTTTTTTCTGTAAATTTGTTCATGCACATTTTGCTCAAGGCTGTAAACACATATTTAGGATCGGTGTCCACTGAAAACTCATATAGCCTGAATATGCTGACCACTAGTCTGAATACTGGTTCAGCAATAGCCCTTTCAAATAAAATGATAAAAATGTGAAATTTTCAGGGCCAGATGGCAGCGTTCTGTTCTTAGCGGATGCTGTTTTACTATAGTATCATGACTCTGTGTGTCTCTGTGAGAAGGAGGGCTCTGGTGGTTAAATGCTGTGATATTTCTCCAGCTGCTTCAGTCTATTGTTTCTGGGCTGCACTTCATAAACACACGCTTCAGGAGCGTCTCTCTCAAAGGTCAGCAGCCGAGGGACTGATGTCTGGAAAACAAATTAAGGGGGGAAGATGAATGCAAAGCAAAGCGCCGCACGTTTATTGATGGCCACCATTTAGAGTCTCTCTGTAGTCCATTTTTCACTCGCCACGAGCGGGACCTTGTTCTGAAATTGAATTGAGAGCAGGAACCTTTGAGTGAATCAGACTGAGCTTCAAATCAGCAGCAGAACAAAACACTGGATAAAAACCCACTCCCTCTGGAGATTCAGTATGAAAAATCTACACTCTACATTTTAATGTGTTTTTCAGAGATCTGGTTTAGGATATTGTCCATTAGTTATTATTGGCCTTTGCTTGAAATCTCTACATATAATGCATTATAAAAACCTAAAAATACATCTTATAGCTACACACACTATTTAGTTCATTATTAACTAAAAATGCATTAATATTCATTATTTAATATATAATTATTTTTATTATATATTATTATAATATTTATATTATAATGCCAATTCATGATTATACATTTAAAGAGAATAATGTATTAAAATGTTCAATGAATAATGCATAAAATGTATAATGTGATACGACATGGGAAACATATACTTATTCATGCACACACACAATATATATATATATATATAGGCTATAATGCGAAACTCTAGGCCTATTATAGTTAGAATAAATGATAATACGTACTAATTCATTGTTATACATTTAAAAAGAGTAATGCATTAAAACATGATCAGCATCCTATTTAATTTGTTATATCAAATGTTATCTTGTGATACCACACATTAAACTCTTTAAAGATGTCACCATGAGTATAATGACCATTATATGGATCAGTTTTATCATTTCAGACTCAAATTACCAGAGAAACACACCTGAAGAAACTGATTATTTATCTTTTACTCTCTAATATCATTACTCTTGTGCTTTGTAATGAGTACAATCAGTGCATTCACAATGAAATACTGCACTCTAAAAAATGCTGGGTTAAATATAACCCAGCGCTGGGTTAAAAAGGGACAAACCCAGCTATTGGGTTGTTTTGACCCAGCGGTTGGATCAAAACAACCCATCCGCTGGGTCAAAACAACCCAACCGCTGGGTCAAAACAACCCATCCGCTGGGTCAAAACAAACCAACCGCTGGGTCAAAACAACCCATCCGCTGGGTCAAAACAACCCAACCGCTGGGTCAAAACAACCCATCCGCTTTTCCCTTTTTAACCCAGCGCTGAATTATATTTAACCCAGCATTTGTTAGAGTGTGATTAAAAGAAAGAAAGAGAGAAAGAAAGAAAGAAAGAAAGAAAGAAAGAAA